TAAGTTGATGAAAATCATCATGGTATATCTAATAAAAAGACTTTTGATTGATACGACATCGTTTGGACCCACAAGTAAGTTCATTACGTCTAAGACTCTTAGTCGGTATTGATAGAACAAGAAAAATAAAACGAATATCGTTTGAAATGAGATAATAACAACGAGTTCCGTTGATAAACTTGTTGGTCTCTTGTAAATGATAGACAAGATTGGTAACTAATAAAGTTTAGAAGTTTGCATTTGTGTTTGGACGATAACACTCATCTCTTAAACATCTCTTCAATCATGTTATGTCCACAAAAGTTATCATGATTCCATGTACCGATTTCGACCTGAAAGAGATGATGAGAATTTTAACGATAAACCAGTCTAAAACTGTTTCGACTGTTGACCCTTAAAGCAAATTCGGTTACTCATAAAAAAAGATGATAATTTTTAAATCTGAATATATCTCAAATAGGTAAGCTTGGCCTAAATGGCTCCCAATTATTACATCTAATTTATATTAAAAACCTTTAAACCATCGGTTTGTGTCATAGTTTGGTTACAACTTTTAAGTATAAATTGTTGATGTCAATATAATATATATACATAAACATAAAAACTAAAAAAAAGATACATAGTTTACGATTCCGGTTAAAGATAAGAGTAATTGACTTTTTTTTTTAGTATGAACCTTCACTGACTCTCAATTCTGATCAATCCAAGGTTTCGTTGAGTAGCAAATAAAAACAACCAAAGTCGATAGACCAAGTTCAAGTATGTTTTCACAAAACGTAAGAGGAATCTAGTCATTATTATCATATATATTGTTTGACAAAACAAATATTATTATAACCATATTAAATTACATTGAAATGCATTTTAATTAATATTAAATATTTTTGAATTGTAAGTAACCTATATATATATAGATTAATATGGCATTAGCTTTTCTTTCTTTTTTTCCTTGTGAATTATTCTTGTGTTCAAATTAACATTACTTTTAGGGTTATGAATAAGGGAGACACTATCTTGAGGAAGTGATCATCGTGACTTGCTCGATTCAGACATTGATGAATTATTGGATCTTAAAGTCATATTTTCAATTTTGTGCTTTCTCTCATCTCATACACGCCACTAATTACCTTCACTCGGGTTTTATTTATTTTCTTAAAATCAATTTAAGTGTTCCTTACTTCCTTCATTATAAACCGGTTAACAAAATCAAATTTACATTAGATAGCCATACGTATAATTGTATTATGTATACCAAAGCAAATTATTATTTTCACTTTATGTAACATTCTTTTTTTTTTGATTCAAACACCTTATGTAATAAAAGTTTGAAAGTATATATTCTTAATTTTCTTCCATATACATATATATATATATATATATATATATATATAATTTCATTATGGCACTGTAAATTATGGTGTGGCCGGCTGTCATATGCTTAAAAATAAGAAGCAAATGCGTGATCAATAATAAGTACCAAGTACAAGTAGTGACTTTACCAAAATTAGATTTCCTCTTTAGGAGGCTGAAAACTTTTACAATTCAACAAATAACGATACGTCAACAACCCTTTTCGTGATAAGTCCTCTCTTAATTAACTTTACTTTTGGAACGGTACAATT